ATGGAGCTGCTTCTCCTCTGCTGTGTCTCTGCCTGTCTCTCTCTCTCTCTCTCTCTCTCTCTCTCTCAGTGACTATCATAAATTAAAAAAAAAAAATCTCTTAAAAAAAAAAAAGGGTGAAGTTCCAAAGAAAAGAAGGCTCTCCTCGGAATTGAGGACACTATGACTGAGGGAGACCAAAGTCTTGTTGACATGCCTGTACCTTCGAACAAACACAAAACTGACACATTTACTTTTCAACAAACTCTGGGCCTTGTGCCCATTCTCCTTCCCAGATATCACAAGGTATTCTTCTGAGAATAACTGTTAACACAGATCACTCTTTGCTCAAATATGGATTAAATGAAAACTCCTAATGAGGGGTTTCACTGGCCTGCTTTGGCCCATTTTCTTAGCCATCTACTTTAATTTCTGAATCACATGGGCAAATGCTTCCAAACATAACTTGACAAATCTCTTACCTTTGCCTACTTATAACCTGACATCGGCTCTTTCAACAAGAGCCAGAGCCACTCTTCTCTTCCTAGAATGGTTTTTCCCCATCCTTTCCCCCAAACTATAGCTCTTGTCCACGTTACTAGAGCACCTTCTTATATATAAGTGCCATCTTACTAACACCCTACCATCCCCCTGAAGTCATAGAATAAGAAACAGGGAGGGGCACCCAGGGGGCTCAGTGATTGAGCTGTCTGCCTTCGGCCCAGGGCATGACCCCAGGGTCCTGGGATCGAGTCCTACCTGGGGTTCCCTGCAGGGAGCCTGCTTCTCCCTCTGCCTATGTCTCTGCCTCTCTCTGTGTCTCTCATGAATAAATAAATAAAACCTTAAAAAAGGAAAAAGGGAGACCTGAAGAACTATCTATCAAGCTCTCATTTTACAGATGAGGAAACTGAGGAACAGAGAAAGAAAACATGCACTGCCCAGGGAACATCTGGTGTTCCAGGGACTAGAAGCTTCCCAATGTACCACACAGCTTTCATATTCCACGCTAGCAATTTCTAGAAAATTAAAGATCATTTAACAGGTGCCACTGAAGTTGCCGTTTAAGGGAAACCTATCGAGTATTTCCATGAATTCAACAAATATTTTACTCTCCCCTTATCTGTAAAAAGAGTTGCTTAAAATAAAAGGTGTGTAAGAAAACTCTCCGTCTGCAGCAACTGGTTAGTTCACTGTGTAGTTACCTAGTCCTTTGAACCTCTGAGGCTGCTTCTGGGAAGTTGGCCAGTGCTGTTCAGATCATTGTGTCACTTGGGCTTCTAGTGATTTCATTTATGACTTGCTCATAGGGTTCTTAATGACACGGAGGGAGGGTCTTGCCCCATTTGAGATTTCCCTGGTCTCCAGGATGATGTGGAAACCATCTGTAGGGCCCTTCCTAAATAAAGATGCTCTGTTTTGCCTAAGTGCTACCAGGTGTCACCATAGGACATGCGGTCTCCGTGCAAGAAGGCCAATGATCCCAACATTCTCCCAAGAAAACTTAAGAGGCTTTGCGTGTCTCTCAGAATTTCGGGACACAGGCTGGGGGGGGGGGGGCTAAGGGTGAGGGGAGAGAAGTGAGGAACCAGAAAACAAAAATGCAAGCCCCAAATGTCAGTTATACTGGCAAAGGCCGGACAAGGCCTGCTCGTGAATCTGGCGATCATCCTGGGCACCAAGTGAAGAATCCAGGCCTTCCACGGCCTCCACAGCCTTCGCCAGGGAAGAAGGTGTCAGGGTGGGGGTGCAGCCTCCGCAACTCAAAGGAGAGCGAGGCCTTTACCTGCGTTCCCGTTCCTCTGGGCTCCAATCCGGTTCCGCAGACGCCTGCCTGAGGGGCCCCACTTCGCTTCTGCTAAGAGGCTCCTCGGGCCTAAACGCTGGGGGTAGAGACCACTGACGAGGAGGAGGGAGGGAGGAGGGGGAGGGGGAAGAGGAGGGGGAGGGGGGAGGAGGACGATGGGGAGAAGGGTGAAGGGGAGGAGGGGGAGAGGAAGGGGAGGGAGAGAGGAGGAGGGGGAGAAGGGGGAGAGAAGGGGAAGAGGAGGAGGAGGGGGAAAAGGGGGAGAGGAGGAGGTGGGGGAGAGGAGGAGGAGGGGGAGGAGGGAGAGGCGGGAGGAGGAGGATGGGGAGAAGGGTGAAGGGGAGGAGGGGGAGGAGGGGAGAGAAGGGGAGAGGAGGAGGAGGGGTAGAAGAGGGGGAGGAGAGGGGAGAAGGGGGAGGGGAGGAGGGGGAGAGCAGCATGTAGACCCACCTGGGCCCGGGCGCAAGGCTGCAGAGACGCGCAGGACGGGGGAAACTTTTCCCCAGCGGCGTATCCCCCTCGCGTGATGCTAGGAGCTGCCAGAGACGCAAAGACGGCCCCTGAAATCTTGCTTTGGGCGCTGGGTGGCGTCGCGGGCGTGCGTGTACATGAAGGGCCGGGGTGCGGCGGGGCGAGGAGGGCGGCGCCCTGTTCCTCCCCGGGAGCCCTCCCGCCCGGATCTGCCTCTGGGGTGGGCGCCGCGGGCCGGGCGGGGCGGGCCGCAGACCGAGGCGCAGGCGGGGCGGCCGGGGGGACGAGGCCGAGGGGCACGGCCTGGGGGCGCGGGGCCCGGGAGCGGGCGGCAGGACACTCGGGAGACTCGGGAGCGAGAAAGTTTGCCGCGAACCGCACTTGTGCGTTGTTTCTGAGGGAGGATGAAAAAGCAAAAGCTGGGGCTCGTCCGGGATTTGAACCCGGGACCTCTCGCACCCAAAGCGAGAATCATACCCCTAGACCAACGAGCCGGGACAGGCAAGCTGCCCGCGTTTCCTCTGAACAGCCCTCGCGCGCCCTCGGCCGCCCGCCGCCCGGCCCGCCGAGCCGTGGACCCGCCGCGCCCCGCGCGCATCTCCCGGACGGCCCGCTCTCCCGAAGCCCGGCTCGGCCGAGGCCCGCGCCCTCCCCCGCTCCGCGGCCGCACCCCTACCGAGGCCGCGCGGGGCGCGCAGGGGCAGCTTTCCCGACTGCAGGCCGCGAGGGTGAGTCGCGGAGCCCCGGCCGCTGCAGGCGCCCGCTCGAGGCCGGCGGGGGCGCGGGGGGCGCGGGGGGCCGGGAGGGGGCGGGGCCTGGTGGGGACGGGACCTGGCCGGGGCGGGGCCTGGTGGGGGCTGGGGGCCCGGCGGGGGCGGGGCCTGGCCGGGGGGGGCGGGGAGGCGCGCCGGGGGCGGGACCTGTCCGGGGGCCCGCGCGGGGGCGGGGGCTGGAGTTCCAGGACCGGAGCTGAGCTGGCCCGTGAGGCTGGCGAGTCCCGAGCCCCACGCAGGACGCGCGGGCAGCGTGTCAGGTGAGGTCGCGCGAGCCCACGTCCTAGGGGAACATCCTGGGGGCTGGAAGGGGCTGGGCGTCCGATCCCGCGAGCGGGGTCCGTGGGAGCTGCACCAGCCCACGCGCGGTCGGACCGCCCAGGCCCTGGCGGGGACTCGCGTGTCCCTGTCCCCACGTGCGTCCTGGGTCTGGAATTCTCTCTCTCTCCCAGTCTCAGCCCAACTCACGTCAACTCCTGTTGCTCTTTCCTGCTGTGGCTCAAAATCCTTTTTGTGGAACTAGGGAGTCGAACCGGCGGCCCGAGGGTGCCCCCCGGGGTCGAACCGGCGGCCCGCGGTTCGTAGCCGACCGCACCACGGTGCCCCGCTCTCCGGGCTGAGCTGCCGAGGGGGCGCGGGGATGCAGGGCGCGCGCGGGGTGCCCGAGAAACGCCCCCGCCCGGGCGGCCTCCCTGGGCGCGCAGCCCCGCAGCTCCCGGACAGCGGTCTTCGCGGAGGGGCCGCCGTCGCGCCCCCAGGCCGCGTGCAGCACCGGGCGCGCTGCCGCGGCGAGCGCCTCCCGTCCCGCGTTCAGGCGGCCGCAGCCCCGGGGCGGAGGACGCGGAGTAGGATGCAGGGGAGCCCTGGCACTTCCGGACAAAGCCCTTTCAGAGCCGAAGCCACAGCTCCTCCGAGTCCGTAACCAGCGTAGCGACCGCGGTCCCGGCTCGGTCTCCCGCGGGGATGGAGAGGGCGCCGCCCCCCCTCTCCCCCGCCCTCCCCGCCCCGCGGGCCCCCCCTCCCCGCCGGGAGGGGCGCCTGTGCGGGCTCCGGGGGCGCCCCCACCGCGCTCACTTAGGGCCCTGGCTGGGGTCTGCACCGCCGGTCCGGGGCCCGCAGCTGGGAGGCCGCCCGCCGCCCCGGGGCGCAGAGCCGCGCCGGGGGAAGCGGAGCCGCCGGGCGAGCAGCCTCCGGGCTGCGGGGCGGTGCGCGGGGCACGTTTGCCCCCACGTTCCGGGGGCGCTCCAGCTGCTGGAGGGAGGGGGCCCAGGAGGGAGCCAAAACAATAAGAAACCCGGGGAAGGCCCCAGCGAGATTTGAACTCGCGACCCCTGGTTTACAAGACCAGTGCTCTAACCCCTGAGCTATAGGGCCTCGCGGGCGCTGGTGCCGCTTCTTTCTCAGGAAAGGCGAGTCGGGGAGCTGGGCCTCGGCGGGGTGCCCGGGGTCCGGGGGGCGAGAGCCGAGCCGAGGGTGGAGGGCCGCCCGGACAGGCAGCGCCTGCGGGACGGGGCCGGGGGGTCGGCGCCCCCTCCTGCCCGGGCCGCAGGGGACCCTGGCGCGGAGGACGCGGCCCCGCAGGGCGCCCAGCTGACACGGGGGCTCCCGCGGGCTCCCCACGCCGCGCAGCCGCCGACCTGCGGGAGCCGCTCGGGGCCGCTCGAGCGAGCCTCTGCCCAGCGAGCCCGGGTCAGGTCGGCTCCGCCCAGGTGTGCGGGAGGCAGCGGGCACGGAGCACCAAGAGCGAGGCCTCAGATGGCGTCTTTAACCCGGGGGCCCTATGGGAGCTCGGGCGCAAGAACGTCGGTCCTTAGGAAACACAACAGTGGGATTGAGCTGCGCCGGCGTGAGGGTGGAGGCGCGGAGCCTCGCCGGGAGCGGGCGGGGCACAGGCGGTCCTGCAGGTAGCGGTCCTGCCGCTGGGGGGACTCTAACACCCGGGCCTGGGAGCTTAGTGACCTCGAGGGCGGGGGGGGGGGGGGGCAAATGTCCGAGCCAAGTCCGAAAGGGAAACTGAGGCATTTAAGGAAACCGCAGCTGGGCCAGATGTCCGCCCTCCCGGAACCAAGGGGAGGTAAAACGTCATGGCAGCAGGACACTGAGATTTCTGGACCCAAGTTACAGCCTCCGGAAAACTGAGAATGGAACTCAGCAGGCGTGGATGCGCCGAGGGGCTTGAAGGGAAGTGAAAGGGGAGCCGAAGGAGCACCGGGGACCGGCCGCGGCGCCCACGCTGGGACACAGGACTGCGAGAGGTGGCATTTATGGAACTGGGAGGGAGGGGGAGAGGGGAGGGATGGGGAGGGTGGAGGGGATGGGAAAAGGGGGGAGGTAGGGGGAGAGAGGGAGGAGAGGAAGGGGAGGAGGAGGGAGGGGGACGGAGGGGAGAAGGACGGAGGGAAGGGAGGAGAAAGGGAAGAGGGAGGGAGGGGGGAGAGAGGGAGGAGGAGAGAGAGGGGGAGGGAAGGGGGGATGAGAAAAGGAGGGGGGTTTGGTTTTTTTGTTTTTTGTTTTTTTTTTTGACTAATGTTTTTTTGACTAATGTTTTTTTTTTTGACTAATCCTTATATTTGGCAATTTCACATATAACAAGTAAGTCTGTCCCAGAAAATTTGCTTCGCAGCTGGCAGCTGGCAGCGGACATGTGACCTAGGTTCCAGCAATCAGACTTATCCAGGGAAGATTTCAATTTAGCTGTACAAAACAGGAGTCAAGGATACATGTAGAAATCCCATGTTTTTCCAATGGCAAGATATGGGATTTCTTGTCTGTAGATTGTTATCTTTCTTCAGGTCTGGAAAATTCCCGGTCAGCTTTTCGTATGTTGTTTTACTCTATTTTTCTTTCTCCATTTATGAAACTGGAGTTAAACTTTCACACCTTGTCCTTCATTTATTTTACCTTCCCTTCCATATTTTCTTTTTGTCTCTCCATGTTACGTTCTGAATAACATATTCTTAATCCACTAGTGCTCTCCACCGCTGTGTTTAATCAGCTGTTAAATCCACCCAGAGTCAATGTATTTTGAGTAAACTGTAATTTTCAATTCCAGAAGTTCTATCTGATTCTTTTTCAAAACCATGAAGCCAACATTTTTTCCAGTTTTATTGAGATATGAGTGACATACATCACTATATAAGTTTAAGGTCTATAGCATAATGGTTTGACTTCTGTGTATTGTGAAATGACCACTGTCATAGCTAACTAAAGCATCCACTGTCACATGTAATAAAAAGAGAAAGCAAAAAAAGAAAAACATTTTTCCTTGTGATGAGAACTCTTAGGATTTAGCCTCTTCGAACAATTTTCATGTATATTATACAGCAGTGTTAACCGTCGTCATCATGCTGTCCATGACATGTTCTTAAGTTCTTATTTATCTTGTAATTAGTAGTTTGTACCTTTCCCCACCCCCTGCCTCTGGTACCTGCAAATCTGATCTGTTTTTCTATGATTTGGGCATTTTTTTCTTTTTGGTTTTGGTTTTGGTTTTTAGATTCCCCACATAAGTGAGATCATACAGTGTTTGTCCTTCTCTGACTTATTTCACGTAGCATAATGCCCTCAGGTGCCATCCATGTTGTCCCACATGGCAAGATTTCCTTATTTTTGTGGCTAAATAATATTCCGTTACATACACACACACACACACACCCCACAACTTCTGGATCCACTCATGAGTGGACACTTGGGTTGTTTTCATATCTTGGCTATTGTAAATAATGCGGCCATGGATATGTGGGTGTAGGTATCTTTTTAATTTAGTGCTTTTGTTTCCTTTGATATATTCCCAGAAGTGGAATTGCTGGATCATATGGTAGTTCTGTTTTTTTAACTTTTTGAGGATCCTCCACACTGTGTGCTATAGTGGCTGTACTAGTTTATAATACCAAGAGTTAAGTCAAATTTTTGAATTTCCTATTCCTTGCAGATGTTTACCAGCTTGTCTTCCATATCTTTAAATACAGTAATTATATTCATTTGAATAGGTATAACTGATAATCCCAAAATTATTCTGTCTACTGTTCTAGTTGATTCTTCTTACTCATGTCACTTTGTTTCCTTGTGTGATTGATCGTCTTTGAATGTGCACTGCTCAATACCCTGGCAAAATTATATGCAGTGAATTTTTGAGGCCAAGATGAAGGTGACTTCCTGAAAAAAAAATATGTATATATATATAGCTTTAGTTTCTCTCAGGCATCTGGAGCACTATCAACCCAAAAGGATCTTTAACAAACTTAATGGCCAGACATTTCCTGAGCCTTCAAGATGATGTTAAACCCAAGCTACAAATCAGGGAGAATGGAGATTTGTGGTTACAGCCTCTCAGGAAAAGTTGAAAGCTCATTCTTTCTAGTTTTCCTTGCTAAGCTCAGCTGATTTCTGCTGAGCTCCATAACAACTATTGGAAGGGGGAGGATAGAGGTAGATTTATTTCCTCTTCATCTTTATCTATGGGAATGGCTCTTTAATATTAATACCAAATTAATATTAGACTTAATATTTTGGGAGACTGTCCTACTAGATTTAACATTTTGGGTAGGTGCTGGGTCTTGACACCTTTCTCTTATGTCGCCCATCAGAAAAGGCTGCCAAAACTATAGCCCAATTTTGAAGTAATTAGCAAGTGTCTTCAGAGCTACAAAGGTCAGTGCTTCCCTTACCAGATTCCATCAGATTCCATCTTTTGCTTGGATTCTGGCCTAGTAGTGGCTTACTGCCATCGTAGTACTTTGATGCTTTTAAGGAGATTTGGTAGGATCTTATCCAACATTTTTACCATTTTTCTTCAAGGAGTTTGGTCCAAATCAATTAGCCCACAATTACTAGAAAGAAAGTTGGAGTTGTAGGAGCTGTAACGTCAATCATGTTCCATCGCACGAACTGAGAAGTGGAGAAAGCATTGCCCTAGAAAGAGCATGCCAACACACAAGGAGAGGTGACAGTGAGAAAGGGAGTCTGGACACCTAAGTCCCTAGCTATGGCTCACTCCAGAGGCCTCAGTGTGTTTTACTCTTGGAACCTATGACATTTTCTTGGATTATCACAGAAATCCTCTTGTTTTATTTTAGCAACAATTGTTTTCAACAGAAAGAGTCTCAACTACGCTGAAGTTCTCTCGGTATGTGCCTCTCTACCTTACAGCTTTTATCTTCTAGTATTTAGATTAACATTTATCAAATAACAGCTGTATATTGCCAACAGATCTTTTTCCAGTCAACTTGATCCACTTTTAACCCCCCAAAGAGAACTCACACCTTTTCCAGTTGTGATCGTTTGCTTATTATTTCTTCACCTAGGATGATCTCCCTTTTCACCATACCTGTCAAACACTATCTATCGTGGAAAGACCATCACAATGCTCTTCTCATTCACAATGCCTTTGCTGTTTACCAAGTAGATTTCACCGCTACTCTCCTCCAAAATTCATGATACTTATTTCTATCATTGCCATCCTTCCTCTTGACTTCCACTCTCAAGGTACCGAACAGGACAGATATAATGGAGGTGACCTGTGGCACCTAGAAGTAAGCATCCAGGGGGATCCCTGGGTGGCTCAGCGGTTTGGCACCTGCCTTTGGCCCAGGGTGAAATCCTGGAGTCCCGGGATCGAATCCCAGGATCAAATCCCAGGATCGAGTCCCACATCGGGCTCCCGGCATGGAGCCTGCTTCTCCCTCCTCCTGTGTCTCTGCCTCTCTCTCTCTCTCTCTCTGTCTATCATAAATAAATAAATCTTAAAAAAAAAAAGAAGTAAGCATCCAAACTGACGTTACCCCTTCAATATATATTCAACTGTCTATGAAAACATCAAACTGTTCTGTTCTCCTTTCCATATTCCTCCATTTTACATGAAAGATTGTCAGAAGATAATGCACATTTTAATTTTATTTTTTAATCTTCTAGAATTGCTTCTGAATTGTGGTTTTCTATCTATTCAAATGCCCACCTTTTTAATTTTTATTTATTTATTTATTTTGCCCACCTTTTAAAAAAAATATGGGGCTTGAACTTGCAGCCTTGAGATCAAGAGTCACATGTCCCACCAACCTAGCCAACCTAGTACCCTACCTATATCCATCTTTTTAAAAATGCTACAAAAGGCACAAAGAACAAATGAGAAGGCAAAGAAAAAAAGGAAGGAAATTTTAGTGCACTTAGCTATAGACTACTAAGTCTATTTTGTTTAAAAAATCCTATGCATTAGTGTAGTGTCCTCAGCTTATTTCTTAGCTCCTGGAGGGGAAGGTTATACGATTCATACTTCTGAGTCTCCAAATACATAACAAAGTGATCAGCACATATCAGGATATTAATAAGTACTCAAGATGGAGAGCAAACAAATACAGACATATGTGTAGAGGGGGGAAAAGGGAGATTACAACCCACAGAAGTCTGGAATGCCATGGAACCTTTTAATTTCCTCTTCCTGGAATTCTTGGTTAAAGAAGCACTAAACATCTCCAACAGCTCTCCAGCTCTCATCCAGTTTAGGTGTAAATTCCAGGAAACCAGTCTGAATTCAACTGGTGCCAATTCTCATAGGTATATGGTCACTAAATGGTGTACCAGATACCAGCCCACAGAGTGTCCTTACAGAAAAGGAAAGAAGTTACTGGAACATAAACATATGGTTACCTATTGAGCATGAGACTCTCTAAGGCAATGTTCTCCACCAAACCCCAGGGAGAATCAGTTTGACATGGCACGTGCATTCAGCCCTGCTGGGGCAGGTTTCCGGAAAATGTCAGACCTCCTTTCCTGAGCCAGTGCAGGGTTTCAGATGCCCAAGGAAACAGACTTTCTGCTGAGAGAAGCCTCATTCCGTCTTGCTAAGTGGGTGGCCAGTGCCGCCCACCTTTGGGCTTTTTTGCAGACCTGAGCAGCACTGGATGTGACCGGAGCTGCCTCTGGATGCTTTCAGGTCTTGGCAAGTAGTAGACTAAGGGGATGCTAAGGGGAGATTTCTTGAATTCAGCTTCTACAGAGTCTGATTTTGTAAGGCCTGGGCAGAATGACCTTCAGTCCCAAACCAGTTGAGCTTAATTGTGGGATTTGAGCAAGAGATTTCATGTTTTCAACAGAGGGCAAGGAAACCAAAACTGGGTAATAAAAGGATCCGAGTAATAAAAGTGTAGCAAAGAACATCACAAGACTTCCCAGAAACAGCCCGGGATGGGTGGCAAGCATGTCCTTTAAAGGATGTGCCGGTCAGGCCTTTGTTTTTTTGTTTGTTTGTTTGTTTTTGTTTTTTAAGATTTTATGTATTTATTCATAGAGACACAGCTAGAGAGAGAGAGGCAGAGACCGAGGCAGAGGGAGAAGCAGGCTGCATGCAGAGAGCCCCACATGGGACTGGATTCTGGGTCTCCAGGATCAGGCCCTGGGCTGAAGGCGGCGCTAAACCTCTAAGCCATCGGGTCAGGCCTTTGGCTCATGATATGATTCACATCACATATGATTCTCACTTTGGGCAACCAGAGGGCCAGGGTTCAACTCCTTAAGATCCAAACTTGTGACACTTACTAAAAGCAATAGTGACTCCCCAAGACCTCATTTCTGCATTTCATGAGTGCTCCCCAACCCCCATTTTGGATCTGACAACTTTGTAGGACTGCTCTGTCCCATCTATTAGGAGATTCAAACCTTGCAGTATCCTAGACACAAAGTAGGGAAACAGGGCATATATCCTTAGCTCGGCCAGAAGAAGAGGACAGCAGTGTTTATGGCATAGCTTATCCTTGAGCCACTGGGTCCATCACCAGGCTGGGGAAGGGTTTCAGCCGACTTTCTGCGAAAGGTGACTGCTTGTGTCCTAAAGGAAATCTTTTAAGAATTGAAAAGTCAAGCCCTACCCTACAAACATGGGCCTAGTGCCCAGGAATTATTGCCAAATTATTTTGCTTTCCATAGCCCCATTAAATGTCACCTAAAGATCACTTTGGTCTCCTGCTACCTCTGTTCAGACCTTCCACTATTGTCCTCTTGACTTTGATTTCTTCCTGCTTACACAGCTCACAGCTGTCCACCTTTTTTTTCTAACAGGATCATTTTGTAAGCTCTGCTCTCAGGCATATGCCGAGATGAACCACCAGGAATGCAGAAGACCCATGGGCCCGTGGGTTGGCTAGCTCCTTAGAGGGAGAGGGTTTAATGAAACTGAAGACCTTAGATACGCAAAAGAGAAAACTTGAGGGGCATCATCACCATGCTCGAATACTTGATGTGCTGCCACGAGGAAAGAGGAAACAGAAGTATTCTTTGTGATAAAAGAGAACCAACTCTTCAAGTTACAGGAAATTGTTATTTATAGATGTTATATATGCACACACCTAAATAAAGAAGTGAAAGACTTATACTAATGAAGGAAACTAAATAAGACACAGATAAATAGACATTCGATGTCCATGGATCAGAAGAATTCAAATTGTTAAAATATCCAAACTACCCAAGGTGATCTACAGACTCAAGGCAATCCCTATCAAAATCCCAATATCATTCTTTACAGAGATAGAAACAATCCTAAAATTCACATGAAACCACAAGAGTCCCTAATGTAAACCATAATTTGGGGTGAGAATGATGTGTCAGTGTTGGTTCATCTTTTGTAACAAATACTGGTGTGGGCTGTTAATAGAGGAGGAAGCTGTGCATGTATAGGGGCAGGAGGTATATGGGAACTCTATGTACCTTCTACTCAATTTTGCTATGAACCTGAAACTGCCCTAACAAATAATTTTACTTGAAAACCCCCACAATAGAGGCACCTGGGTGGCTCAGGGGTTGAGTGTCTACCTTCAGCTCAGGTTCTATCCTGGAGACCCGGGATCCAGTCCCACATCAGGCTCCCCGCAGGGAACCTGCTTCTCCTTCCACCTGTGTCTCTGCTTCTCTGTGTCTTTCATGAATAAATAAATAAAATCTTTTTTAAAAATCCCACAATATTCCTGAACTTCTATGTATCTAATAACACAGCTTGTTGTAAGATGTAAGGATAAAAAGATATGTTTTAGAAGATTAAAAAAAAAACAAAATATAAGGAATATTGTAAGAAGAGATACATAAGAGGCAAAAGTTGGCAGAACTAAGAGAAGAAATAGAAAAATACACCATCATTTTTTCATTGGATATTTCTTTTTTCTTTTTTTTCCACAATCATCATTGGATATTTTAACAATCTTCTCTCAGTAAGTGTTCAACAAGTAGACAAAAAAATAAGTAAGGACATAAAAGATTTAATCAACATAGTAAGTAACCAATACCTGTTTGTGAGGTAAGTGAATAGATTCCTAAAGAAATTTTGCATAAATTTTACTGTGCGTCTTTGGGTAGATGAGTTGACAGAGTGGGGGACAGTAGGATATCCTGGTAGACATCCTTGGGTCTCTTACAAAGGATCAAAGGAGAGTACAGGTACCGCACACTACTGCCAGGGGTATGGGCTCCACTGTGTCTAAGCCCATACAGCAGTCATGATAAAAAATAAAAAAAAAAGAACAACAACAACAAAAAAAAACACAAAACACTTGGACTTAGAAAATCAAGTGAAATAGATAGTAAATATAAACTGTATTTATAAGTTGGTTGTTTTCCCTGAATACTGAGCACACTTGCACGATCTCTACCGCCATAGTCCTACAGAGATTTATGTTAAGTCTTTGAATTGGGAGACAAAATATTCTACTTTTGAAAGTCGAACAAGAAAGAAGCCACACAGTGGTGGATGGGATGCCCTATTCTTGGGCTGATATCTTGCAGGTGCATTATTCTGGGACCTCAGGCTTCCCAGGCTGAAGTCTCCCAACAGATGAGAAAGATCCTTAGCAGCGAGGTTCCTGGGGGGCCTCGGGTGATTATTTGGGGCACATACAGAGCTTTCCGAATGATCCAGGAGAGGGCAAGGCGGCAAGCATACCTCCGGGTTTCTCCTGCGTATTTGCTGGTCATTCTGTCTGTCTGGCAGGACGGATAAACACGGCCAGAGACCTCAGAAGACGGCACCAGCGGAATCCATTCTGTGTGGCTCATTTGAGACTTCCAGGGTCCCCAGAGGTGGGCATCCTCAGGTTGAAGTGCTATGGGCGTCCCAAGGGGAGCAAAGTGGCCACTACATTCTCCAGTATGGGGTGAAGGTCCTTAACATCAGGCTTCGCTATTTTGCCAGGCTTTGCTCCCTCACTTATAATTAAGGTTTCCCATCTATTCCCGCGGCTACCACGCTGAGCACACAGCTTCCCTGGGCGCTGCTCTCAAGGGGGGCACGGCGCGGGCGGGGGCGGGGGCGCTGGGGGGTGGGCTCCGTCCCAGGCTTGCTGAAGACCCCACGACTTCTTCACCCCGCGCCATCCGGGTCCGAAGCGGCCCCTGCCTCCGCGCAGTAAACCGTTTATAAGCGCGTCTTGGGCGCCCGGGGAAACTGAGGCGACCCCTGACCCCGCGCTCGTCCCTCCAGATCCCGAGGGCCCCGCCTCCGCAGCGGGTGGTCTGCCGGGACTGTGGCCTGCGGCCTGCGGGCGGGCGAGGGGAGGAGTTCAGGGCGGGACCCGGTCCCCGGTCCCCGGTCCCCGGTCCCCGGTCCCCGGGCGGGGGTGGTGGTATGTACCTGTGTAGGCGGACCCACGCCGCGTCGGTAGCGTGGCCGAGCGGTCTAAGGCGCTGGATTTAGGCTCCAGTCCCTTCGGGGGCGTGGGTTCGAATCCCACCGCTGCCAGGGTTTTGCTTCCGATCCTAGGTGGTCACAGCCTTCGTCTCTAGAGAGGGACTCGGCCAAATCTCAAAACCCGGCATCTGAGATGCGCCTTCTGAACCAGTGACTCAGGTTCCCTCCGGCTCCGCCATCCCTGCTCTGCTCCCAAGGGAAGGCGAGCAGCCCGGGGCAATCCGGAGAGAAGAGCGGGTCTTGGACGCTTGACGTGACCTGGAAGAGCGGAAAGGGTAAGGTGAGGCCCTGGAGGGGCCCCTGGAAGTGAGACTTGGGGGCGGTTCTTGGCGGTCCCACTCAGAGCCACAGGACCGACCTCGGACAGATGCACGCTGAGCTCCAGGTGTCCCTGCAGTCCCTGGCTCTGCCTCGCGGCCCCTAGGGGGTTGCCCATAAGGTGTACCTGCACTTGCTCCTGGGCTGGGCACTCCTGGGGTACCCTCGCCCCTCTGTCGTCAGTCTGTCCATCAGTCCGTCCTCCGGGGCGGCCAAGACATGTCCAGCAGGAGACTGAGGGAGGTAGCTGCTCAGCAGCTCAGGGACGGGCCTCCAGCAGCAGGCTGCCCAGCGAAGGACAGCACCCAACTCCCAAGGGGCGCCCAGAGTCTCGGGATGGGCTGGAGGTCAGGATCCCAGGATCGACTCCCTAAGGAGGGCTCGCGCCTTCTGGCTTTAAGGCAATGTTCCCAGAGGGTGTGCTGGGCGTAACTGGGAGACATGGACACCAAATCCCTATGCATATTACATACAGATATGAACCCAGGCACCCGGGCTTCTCAAGGCTTCGGGAAGGAGTTACAGGCTCATGTCAGTGGCTGGTGTTGGGCCCTAACTGGCCTGGGCCCTAAATGTGGCTTCTTACTCTAGTCAACCTCAACAGTTTTGAACTGGATACTTCTTAACTGTGGGAGTCCAGGGCCCTGCATATTTGGGATGTTTTTAGCATCACTGGCCTTTACCCACTGGGTACCAGTAATACTGTACCAGTTATGACAACTGAAAATATCTCCAGACATTCTCAATGTTCCCTAGGAGGCAAAAATCATCCTTAAGTTCTCAGGGTACAACTAATATGTCCCACTGTGTGGTGTGTCTCCTCAACAGTGCCTTTTGAAGGTCAAAGTTTTCAAATTTTGATGAAGTACAACTAATCACATTTTTCTTTTATGGATCATGCTTTTGGTGTTGCATCTAAAAAAAAAAAATCTTTCCGTGATACAAGGTGACAAAGATTTCATTCTAAATATTTTGTAGTTTTGGTTTGTGATCCATTTTGAGTTAATTTTTTTATGTGGCATGAAGTAAGGATCAAAATTATTTTTTGACTTTTTTTTGTTGACAGACTACATTTCTAAAGTACATTTATCATGACCACTCAGTAACGTATAGAATTGTTGAATACTATATTGTACACTTGAAACTAATATAATGCTGTATGTTAACTATACTGGAATTAAAATTAAAAACAATAAAAATAAATTTAAAACGGCTACCTTTCTCTACTGAATTGCCTTTAAAACTTTGTCAACCATCAATTGGTAATATATGTGTGGTTCTATCTCTGTATTCCTGTTCTATAGGTCTTTTTTTTTTAATTTTAATGCCAATACTGCAGTCTTTTTTTTCGATACTACAGTCTTGATTATAGTAGCTTTTATACATCTTGATGTCAGGCAGAGTGAGTTTGCTCTAACTTTATTATTCTTTTAAAAGTTGTTTTGAGCATGCTATGTCTGAATTTTCATGTGAATTTAGGAATCAGCTGGTCTGTTTCTAAAAACAAAACAAAGCCAGAGGTGCCTGGCTGGCTCCGTTGGAAGGCATGTGACTCTTGACATTGAGATTGTGAGTTCAAGCCCCACATTGGTGTTGGGGCCAGGCGGGAAGAGAAACTCCTCAAGATGGCGGATACCCCAAATGGCTGAGGTTCCTGTCACCACCTCCACCTGGGACGCCAATGGACCAATGACCTGCTGACAGCTTGACGCAGACCCTTAGACCTCTCCTTTGGACTTACCCAACCGGACCCAATGCCCTTCAAACCCCAGAGGAGGAAGTCACCTTTGACTGACCGAATTGCAATCCTTCCTTTGCATGGGGAGGGTCACTCTGACTGGTTGGATTGCAATCCTTCCTTTGCATATGAGCCGACCAATAGGAAACCGTTCTGCCTTACAACGTTACGTAAACCCCCTGCCACCTTGTCTTGGCGCGACTTCCCCGACTCACTCTTCCCCTCCGTGAGTCGTGGAACCTCGCCCGAGGATGCCTGCAATAAAATCTGTTCTTGGACCCTCGCTTGCCTTGGCGGTCTTATTTCCATTTAGTTACCAAAAAACCTAACAATTGGCTGTAGAGATCACTAAAAATAAATAAGCTTTAAAATAAAAAACACATCTTAAAAAAAATAACTAAAAACCTAGCCTTGTTATTTTGAATAAGATTATATTGAATTTATAAATCACTTTTGGGGTAATTTATATCTTAAGAATATTGAGTCTTCTCATTAACAAATGTGAAATGATTTTACTTATATTCTGGTTTTCTTTCATCTATCTCAGCATTTGTGTGTGTATAAAAAATCTTGGACATATTTTTCCCTAAGTATTTCATATTTAATGATTCTGTTGTAAATTGAATTACTTTTTAAATTTTTAATTTCTGATGGTTCGTTGCTAGGTACAATTATACATATGTAGATATAGTATAAACAGTAATATATGCAATTAATTTTAATATTTATCTGTGTCCAACAACTTTGCTAGATTCACTTATTATAGCTTTCAGTAGATTCTGTAGGAGTTTTACATAGCCTTTCATGTATTGATTGGGCTAGAATCCCCAGTACAATGTTGAACAAAACTGATGAAAGCAGATGTTCATGTTTGCTCCTAATCTTGCAGGGAAAACAGTCTTGTATTATTAAGTGTGAAGTTTTTCGTAGCTTCCCTTTACCAAGCTGTGGAAGTTTCCTTCTTTTCCTAAGTTGCTGAGAGTTTGTGTCAGGAATGAATGTGGACTTTGTCAAATGCTTTGCATTTTTTAGTAAGATCGTATGATTTTTCTTTTTAGTCTTTTAAAATAATAAATCACATTGATTTTGAATATTAAACCAACTTTGCTTTTCTGGGATAAATCCCCCTGGATTCAGATACATTGTCATTTTTTATATTGTGGATTCAACTCCCTAAAGTTGTTGAGCTGGGGTGGGGGGCTGGATTTCACGTTTTAGACCCTGCCTGGTGCACTAACTCCCGAGTTACAGCTTCTTACTGGGTTCTTCTAGGAGAGACCTTCATTTGTTGATCCACAATCAACAAAACTGGTAGGAGGAAGAAGTAACAGATACTTACCCCTCGGCTCGGGTAACTGCGACTCACCCTCCCCAGGGCCTCACACTCGAAGAGGAAGCCCCTGGCTTTGCCACCCCTCCTCCCCAGATGGGCATAGATCTTCCAGAGTGCACCTGCGGGTCTGAGTTGGGCTGAAGCCCCGGCTACAACGCTCCTCGCCCCCTCCTCACCGCCTCGGATTCATCCTTCCCAATACCCTCTACGACCTCTAGCCTCTCCTAACCCGGCGGGTTATTGCCAGTGCAGATGGCTTTGAGAATGGCTGCAGACTCCCCCCCAGGACCGCCTGGGACCGCCTTCCCGATTCCCGGGCCAAGGCTTTAGGAAGAGCGCTGTGGTGTTGCGAGAGGCTTCTCTGTCCCAGCTCTTCTATAAACTGCCTAAAAGGTCATGGAAAAACCAACACTTTAAAATATATTGATAGCCTCCGAGGAGTAAGTGAACCGTTTAAGATCCGTGCAATCTTGACCTGGAAAGCCCATTTTCAGCTGTCTTTTAGGGATGCATTTGCTCTTAGAACTAAGGCGGTCAATCCCGAGCTCGCCCCAGGTGTGCGGGAGGCGGGGAGGGAGCGGGGAGCCCTAGTTCACCTTGAGGCGCAGAGAAACACGAGGCTGAAAGGCAAACGGAGGAACCTACAGGGACAGGGGAAGAGCCCTTCCTGTTCGCGGCTCCTCACTGCGATCTGGTCCCTTCCAATCACGGGCGGTGGTCTGTGGTCTGCTGATGGCAACCAAGCAGCACTTGGTGACTGCCACCGAGGCCTCGAGGCATGGACCCGGGGACAACCGGCTGGATGTGACCCGCAGGACAGTGAGATGTCCTCACAAGGACTGGAACAGCCTGTGGGAATAGCGTCGGTGCTGCTCCTCTAGGCAGGCTGCACTTGGGGAGCTACAGAAGCCTGAGCTTAGACACCCCAGGCAGGCGACAAGCTGCTCACCTCATGAGCAGCCCCATTTGCACTGCCGGCTGCTCTGGGGGAACAAGGACTCCTCTGTGGCCCGCCATGCACCAGCCAGAGCCCAGACCGAACCGGGGGCCTCTTGAGACACAGTGCCCGCTGTCAAATGAGGGAGGCTCTTAAACGGGGACAGAGTGTCCCGCAGTTGTGCGACCTGCGGGGGAGGGGGGGGGCGCAGCTGCAGGGACCGGAGCCAGTGGGCGCCGCGGACCGTCTCCTGTCACTTCCTGCTGACACGTCTTCCTGCAGACGAGGAGCACAGGTGTCGTGGGCCCTGGAGGAAGGCCTTGGAGTTCGCTGGCCAGGCCAAGTCTGTCGCCGGGAGCTGGGCCCCATCCCCTGGGCCGGCTGGGGGGAGGCAGGGTCGGGTCCGGCCACCTGGGAGACGCCCAAAGTCCGGCGCTGTCCCGCTCCCTCTGACAGCACCAGGAAGCCACCTCCAGCGATTCGGTTGCGGTGGGAAACCACAGAAGGGCTTCGCCTCCTCCGAGAAATACTGCGCAGAGCCAGGCGTGCGAGCTGCCCGCTGCCTCAGCTGGCAAAAGGACTGCAGAGTGCCCTGGCGTCCTTGGGCGGTGGGTCAGTGGGTCAGAGCCCGCCCTAGGGGACAAGCACCTGCAGGTGTCCTCAAGCTCCATCCGACGCGTCAGGGTCCCTCCAACCTGGGATGTCGTGGCCTTCGCCGGCTTGAACCTTCCTGTGGCTTCCTAAGCAATGTGTGGCGAGACCGAGGGAAGGCCAGCAGGGATAAAACAGAGCCGACCCTCACAGAGGCCCAGTCCCCTGTTCCAAAACTCAGTCTCTTGGGGAAACACTCCCCTTTAAGGCCTGGGCCTGGGTGCCAGATGAGCAATTCAGAGCCTACGGAGAACACCTGCTTTGGCCACGGGCCCTGCTGTCCTCCGAGCACTTCCTGCACTTGCTTTTAGGGTCAGGACTTCAGAACAGGAGTCTGTGCGGCAGACCCGAGATGCGAAGGAAAGAAGTCACCATCAGAGTAAATAAGCAGAAGCAGCCAGGGCGTGTGGTAGCGTGGCCGAGCGGTCTAAGGCGCTGGATTAAGGCTCCAGTCTCTTCGGGGGCGTGGGTTCGAATCCCACCGCTGCCAAGTGGGAGTTTTGCCAGCTCAGAAACTGAGGTCAAAAGATGATGAAAATGACTCCGGTGCTTGGATAGGGTAGCACTAGACTGAGTCTAGGGTGGGGGAGTACATGAGGGTCGAGGTCCAGCTTTCAGATCAGACGCTCAAGTGCAGGGAGCACCTGTTTTCTGGCCGGTAGAGGAGGCTCACCAGGAGGTTAGGGGTTGGGAAGAAACAAATTTTAAAGACTTGCCAGTGGCATGTGTGTTCCCAGAAGTATCTGTCACATGCAGATTGATAGGAGGATTGATAGAAGGACCAGGAAGTGCTTTTTCCTTGGTTTTACTCCCCTCCCCCCCCCATAAATGGAACAGCACAGAAGCTTTGCAGCCAGTCTGAGCGAACTTCAAGACACAACTCCTTTGGCAAGAGCACAGGGCTCAGACCCTTGGGTCTGTACCTTTGCAGCGAATATTAGAGTTTCAAGGGGGCTCCTTGGTCCTCCGGCCCCCATTGGCCCTATAGCTCTAGCTGCCCCGCTCCCCTTTCTACCTCCACAATCCCAAGCCCCATTTCTGCTCTCGATGCAGCATCTCCCCTTTCTCCCAGGTCCTCTGTACCTGGAAGGAGAAGGGAGGAGAGGACCTGAATGAGACTGTCAGCAAGGAGGCAGTACTCATGGCAGGAGGGCGGTGTTTCACTTCTTGGAGGCTGCAGTCAGGGATCCTTGACAACCAATCTGGACCTGAGCTCACTGCTCCTACGTGGGTGCTCTCAAAGAGCCCGAGAAAGTGTCAGTTCTGAATCTGAACTCCTATTAGACATTTTCACCTCCTGAACTATAAGAACTTCTGGACCTGTGTGTGTGGTCTGGGGGCTCCGGAGACCGGGTGGGTGGAATTTGGTGTCTACTGAAACCCTAGTTCCATCGAAGAGCTGCCTGTCCTAAGAGTGTCTCTTCAGAGACCTTGTGAAGGAGAGAGCGCCTTCTGGCCGAGGGGAGTCTTCTTTTCAAGGTGGTGTCCCAAGAAGCAGAAGTGCCATGTCCTTAAAAGTGATGAAGAGAAATCTCAAGTTTCCCTGCGGACTTGTGGATCTAGGGCTTTGAGTTGGCGGCGCTCCCTCTTCTGCTTAAGCATTCTCACTTCACAAAAACCACAAGTCCCGTCTGAAGAGGGCGTTCAGGGCCTGTGCTGCCCCAGCCGACCTGGAGGGCAGGGAACCGGCGAGGCCGAGCCCGGGATTAAATTCCCCGCGGGGATCTCAGACACATCTGCATGACATTACCGTTTCCACAAGCCCTTTATGATCCCATCATCAAATAAAAATAATGTGTCCTGGCCGCAACAACGGGGCACACACAAGGCGCGCCCCCACTCACGCTACTCGGAGCCTCCACGCGGCTCTTTCTAGGTCTCTTGGCATCATGCTAACAAGTGGGGTAAAGAGCTGAAATTTGGGTGCGGGGTGGTGAGTGGAAGGGGACATTTCTCTTCCCCCCCTTCCTCCCCTCCAACGCTCCTAGGAGGTGACGTAGATCAAGGTATGTGTGTCTTCTACAAATTAGTGGGCGCCTACTTTTTGCCAGGGATTGTGCTTGGCTCTAGGAGGCAGGTTGGTCTTCAGGGATTTCACTTTCTACAGTGCCAAGAACCGTTTTCTCAAAAAAGGTGAGGCTCAACTCAACCACTCTCCATCTAGACTAGAAAATGTGAAAATAAGCAAAGAGGGTAAGTGTGAGGTAACGTGCGGAGAGGTCCACGCCGCAGGGTTTGGGCTACAGTCTCTTGGATTTGAGAGTCTGAATTCCACCACCGCCAACGCTTTGATG